ACAGTTTCTCTATCCATTCATTTGTTGATGGGCACCTGGGTTGTTTCCAACTCCTTGCTATTGTGAACAGAGCTGCGATAAACATGGGTGTGCATATATCTGCTTGAATGTCAGTTATGGTCTCTTTGGGGTATATTCCCAGTAGTGGAATTGCTGGGTCAAATGGTATCTCTAGTTGCAACTTTTTGAGAAAGCGCCATACCGCCTTCCACAGTGGTTGTACCATTTTACATTCAGGATGGAAATATTAACACAGGAGAAACTCACAGCACAATGCCAGCAGAGCAGGAGTAACCACTGAGAGGACGGACATACGGTCATGCTCCAAACACCAGAGAGGGGAGAAGGCAAAGGGATCCTGGTTAACAGTTACACCCCAAGGGCAGAAAGGTCTCTGGAAGCCTTTCTGCTCTAACCAGCAGGAATATCCAGTACAAAATGGGAGCATGGCATGAATCTCTCAGACACAATGGGAATACATCTAGCACTCTATGGGAATACATCTCCAGGACCGATTCAACTCTCCTCATACAAACCAGGCCCAAAATGGTCGATGAAACCAGAGGTAGAGCTGACTAGACAAAGAACTTTTATAACTCCCCCGATTCTAAAACCTCAGGAGCGTACAGAGCTGCTTGTGCCAGGAAGCCCTAAGGTTCTCATCTGTGTGAGTCCCACATTCTCCACGCACGCTCTGGATAACAGCAGTTAAAACTTATTATCACATATTCACATATTGCTGTGCCAACTCAGAGCTGAGGCCTGCTAGAAGAAACCGGCTCTTAATAAAAATATCTGGCCTGCACAATGAACCTGTATTCTGATGTGGCCACATGGGGTGCTGTGGTCCTTCTCCTTTCAGATCCCTGGCTGGCCCCTGGGGAGAATGGACAGAGCCTCAAAGCTTCTCTGGGTGAGTAACTAGGATGAGTCTAATGAACAGGAGCCTGTTACACTCAGAAGCTCACCTGGAATTTGTCCTTCAGCACCATGATCACAATTTCGAAAGACTTTTCTTTCTGGAAAGGCATTTCATAGGTGATGTTTTCCCGACCCCATTTCTCATTGGTCAGGGTATTGCAGACAATGTAGTTGGTCCGTTTGAAGCGTGGGTTGAGGTGAAAGGCCACATCCGCTCTCGGTTTCACACTGCTGCCACACTGCAAGTCCACCTGGAATCTGAGGGGAGAAATATGGGGCCAGACAATGTCACGTGCCGTCTGAGCTTTGCCCTACGCCCACCACACACACACAGCCTGTCAGGACAACACAGCATTCTGAGGCATTCGAGGTTTTGGAGCTGGACCCCAGGGTCACCAAGGCTCTCGGCACCTCCAGACCACGCCTGAGTATCTCTAGCCACACTCTTTCCACTCGCTGCCCAGTATCATTCCGTTTCTCTGGGCGTGGGGGGCTCATGCTGGTTCACTTGTATGTGTCCTTCAGTTCACTGCCACATCTGTGCAGTGTGGCACTCACAATGCAGCCAACTGGCCACAGAATGCCGCCCTCCACACCAGCCCCAGGCAGACAGCCCTCGGTTGAAGGGGAGGAAGACCCTGAGCAGGACGGGCAGCGATGGCTGTGACAAGGGGCTCGCACACCGCAGACTGAGGGCGGTGCAGAGCTGGGCCAGCTCTCGTTCTGCTGTGAGTGCACTGGGCGTTAGAAACAGCGGCAGCAACAGCAGCAGCTTCACCAAGTTTGAAGAGCGTGCCCTGAAGGGACTCCTGCGTTGTTGCCTATGGATCCCGCACAAGCCCACAACGTTGGCCCTGGGGTATCAACAGTAAACTGCAGAGGGAGGGAAGGAAGGATGGCGAGTCACACTCTTGCTTTTAGTAGAGACGTGGTGACAAAGAGCAGAAAGGCCTACCTCGGAAACACTGGGCACAAACCACAGTTCAATCCAGCTACCATGTCAAGAGGCGGCACATGTCAAGAGCCTGGTGAGCGGCCCTAGACAGGTCTGTCAACTTACAGAGCCAGCCTAAGACAAACTGTGACACAGAGAAGTCTGCCTGTAGGCCTCTGCATCTGGGCACGCTCATCTGATTTCCAGAGCTTGTTTACTGTGACACGGACTCACCAAGGACCGTTAGGGAAGCAAACATTCCACATTTCTACCCACACTCAAAAGTCACAAAAGGGTGCCTGGGCATCTTCTGATGGGCTCCAACACTCAAGTGACACTGAGGTGACCACAGACTACTACCAAAGGACCAACAGCAAAATCAAGGCTCATGGAGGAAGGTCATAGAAAGAGAGGAAGTATTTCAACAATATTGTAGCTGATGTTAGATGGATCTTGGCTGAAAACAGGGAATACCAGAGGAATGTCCATCTGTGTTTCATTGACTATGCAAAGGCATTTGACTGTGTAGATCATAACAAACTATGGCTGACTCTGAGAAGAATGGGAATCCCAGAACACTTGATC